AAAATTTAAGGTAATATGCATTTCATTTGGCTATCACCGTGTTATCTTATGGTTAAAAAAGGAAAAGGTTTAATAAGCTGAACAGAAGACCCATCCTTTGGGATCTTCTGCCTCATATTCATTAGAATGTGTACTTAAGTCAGGGGTGTGAAGTCTTCCCCATCTCTTATGGAAATATGTTGTGTGATAATACTTTTTGTGAGATGATTTTTCTTTAATTTTATTTTATTTTCTACAGAAAGCTGTGAACATCCCAGTAAACGCTGTTTCTCACATAAGTGCAAAACATCTTCAGGATAAGCTGCTGAAACTCTCAAGACTTATTTCTGGTCAGCCTGTGGAAGTTGTGCACAGCCAGATTATAGCTTCTTCACATCCAGAAGGCATCATATTCTGTAAAAATCTGCTGGCAAAGAAGTTTGTAGTGAGTAGTTATTTTTGGGAATATGCTGGTTCCCTTCTTTAATTCTTTTTATTACAGGTTTTAGAGCTGTTGTTTTCATAGATTGTAATTGTGGAATTGTAAGGCCTTGAAAACATATGCATCATATGAGTTTATTTCAGTATAGTATTTATGTTGCACACAATTATCAGCTGGTCACAGTGGCCATGTGGTCTGAGGCATGGGCATTGTTCGCTTGGACACTGCGACCATGGGTTCGAATCGCACTCAAGGCATGGCTATTTCTCTGCATGTTTCTGTTATTGTGCTGTCCTGTGTTCAGTAGAGGCCTTGCAACGGGCGAATCCCTCGTCCAAGCAGTCCTACCAAATAGGCCAAATAACCTGAAAAGAGGCGGCCACTGCTGACACTGGGCTGTAGAGCCGGAGATGAGAAGAGACATGCTTAACAGCCTAATCATGATAGATTTGTGTTGAAGTGTGTTGCTGTTCACCCAGTAGTTTAACAACAGTATATTTCAGTAGTTGTTTTGTGGACAGTAAATAAAAATGCTGTTTGTCTTGCCTTAAGGCCCCTTCTTACTGAGCATCAAAGATATATAGTCAAGCAATTAGTGACTTTTTAAAAAGGGACCTTATCATGGATTTGGGTTGTAGAGGGTAAGTTATGTATGAAAAATGTGATATAGTGAAACACATTTATGATCTCAGTGAAATTTGTTATTTTTGACTGTTTTCAGATGCAGGGTAAATACACCGTGTCCAGTAAACCTGAAGCAGCATTTGCAATAGCTGCAGTCATTGAGGCTCTATGGGCAGATTTTCCAGACTTTGGAGAACTTATTTTAGGGCACTTTTATAGAGAATGTCCTTACCTTGTTCCCATATTCATGCCACAGGTGGAAGGTCAGTCCAATGAGGACTATTACAGGTAAGCTATCTTGATTTTTAAACTGTTATATGTATTTAAAGTTATTGTGCAGATATTAATCATGTATTGAGTTGCTTCAAGTTGTTGAACTTGCAAGTGAGAATAATTAAACAGCATTGATTTGTAGGATGTCTATAAATGATAACTTGAATGCAGTCACAGCCTATTTTAATGTAATATTCTAGCATTTACTTGAAGGGACTGAAAAAGAAAGTAAAACTTCAGCTGATATGTTGAAGTAACCTGCTTCATACTCAGGATGTTGCAAGCACAGTTCTCATACAGTGGATCAGCCATGACCAGAATTTTTGCTGCTTTATTAAGAGCTGTGTTCTGTTACAGGTTACTAGGTTATCATTACAATGAAAATGGTGAGTTGGAGGAACAAGACAAATTTCTAAAGCGTATGTCTGGAATAATGCGATTGTATACTGCAGTGCTAGTAACGCGACCATGTAGATACCAGCAGAACAAGAGTCATCCCCATGGACTTAAACATGCTTGGCACTGGATCGCACATATGCTCAACATGGGTAACTAGTTTATGCTTCATCTCTTTGTGTGTCAGATCACTAATTAGAATTCCTGTAGGATGTAACTTTGAATACATCATCTCTGTAGAGGTTTTAAAATTCTTAAATTTGTTTTACTATATGTTTTCTTTATAAGCTGTGCATGCATTTTGCTTTGATATGAGGGCTGTGATTTTGGGACTGTTAGTGTGTTGCTTTTGCAGCAAGTGATACATTGTAACTGTGCTCTCTTTTCTGCAGATCCAAGACCTGACATCTCTGCAACTTTGCTGTATGATTTTCTGGAAGTAGCAGGCAATGCCATGTACTATTATTATGGACGGCAGTTTCAGAAACTTCTGGATCTTATTTGCAAAGAATATTTCCCAAGAATTGAAAAGGTATTGTTTGTAGGCTTCAGAGGATAGTTCTAGTAGAGATGCATTACTTGGAGATATCTCGTCGACAGCTTCATTTGAGCTAATATAAATACATGTGTGTTATTTACTTCATATTGCTTCTGCCTATTGGTCCAATTTCTTAAAGCTGTAGTTTGCTTTCACTGAGAGTGATATATAAAATTTAGACTATTTCTCCGTTGGCTGTGCTAATAGTTGTCACATTCTACACAGTTCTCAAGATTGTATAATATCAAAACTAATTATTATCCTTTTGGATGTGTAACTGTTATGCCACTGTTCAACTTATGTATTGAATTACTTAATAACTATTAATATTATTTAAATACCCAGACCAATTCCAAGGAATCTGTACAATAGCAAATCTTTACTTCCAACAACCAAACTAGTTTTTCCTTTCTTTAAAATGTCCGTCAATAATAACAGTACTTCCTAAATATTATTTGAGTTTACCTGCTGATCATATTTCTTTTTAAAAGTGTGAAAAAGTCATCACAATCATTTGATGTTTCAGTCATCACACATCTTCTCCAGTCTTCTTTCCTTTCCCATGAGTGCTCCTTTTTTATTCTCTCGTATGTTTCTATTTCTATATTTTTTATTCTTTATCTTCCCCTCACTTGTTCTTTCCACATTGCCCCTTGTCTCCCCAATGATTTTTTAATATGTTAGTTTCTTACATTCTTGTATGACTCCTATTGCTGCCCATGCATAACCTGTTTCCATACCACTTTATCCTTGAGTTGATTTGCTTGTAATGTTTGTAATTTCAAGGTCTTGTGTTATGTTAGGTAAAAGGTTGTGGTAAAATGTAAACTACGCAAAGCTTCTTAATACTAATAACATTGATCTGTAATGAATTATTATGTTTACAGGTGACTCCATCAGTTTCAAGTGGACCCGTGTGTCGACTTCAAGCCCTTTTGCAGAAGATTTTAAAGCAAGGACATATTCCTCCTCCGGCTGGTTTATTGCCATCTAATTTCTGGTGATGTGTCACATCAAGCAATATTTATTTTTGTTAGTACTGACATTGTGACATATTGACCAGTACAGAGTTAATTTCTTGTACAGTGGTAATATGATTTTTAAACAGACATGTAACCCGGATGATATATTGAACACCTGTGGATGTGCTTGAGAATCTTGTGTTTAAGAAATTATGAAGTAATATTTTACTTAGTAACTTCCCATGATTAAGGCCAAAGTGGCCTTGAAGATAGAGGCAGGAGTTTCTTCTGAGGTCTTGGTATCCATTTGCAATGTTATCATATTTAATTGCAGAACCAGGTTAATTTCAATACGGCAATACGTCCGGTTGAGAGTTATTATTATTATTATTCTGTATTTTAGCTTTTAGTTTTTGTATTTTATCGTTTTGTTATTAAATTTATCAAATTATATTATTTTATTTTATTTTCTATATGTAATTCATTGTAATCCTGGGGTCTCGGGTTCGATTCCCGGCGGTGCCCGAATTTATAACTTGTGTTGGGCAAGGCCATGGTCTAGGCAACACGGAGTTTTCCTCCGGGGGCTTCCCCAGTTTCTCCATGGCATCCCAACAATTACTCCATACACACAGAAGAAGGCAATGGCAAACCACTTCTGGACCATCTGCCAAGAACGTATATGAACAGGTCCCAGTCCGAGAAAAGGATGGAAGGATCCTGTTCATATGGACCTGTCGTCAGACAACACTAAATAAAAAAATAAATCTATTTCATTAATATTCTGTAAATTATGAATTCAAAGTTTTTAGTTTTACTTATTATAGTTAAGTCTAAATAGTTTAGTGTATTGTTTTGTTCAAGTTCTATTGTAAATTGGATGTTTTGATTTATGTTGTTGAATTCATCAAGGACTAGTTGAATATTTGTTTTTTTTCTATTGTAAATTATTAATATATCATCCATGTATCTGCTATAATATTGTATGTGGTTTTTGTTTAATATGTTTACTATGTTGTTGTGTTCTAAATATTGAAGGAATATTTCTGATAATATACTTGAAGTGGGAGCACCCATGGGTAGT